CATGAATTTTTATTCTTTAGACAGTATATATAATGAGATTTTAATTGATGGAAATAAAATTATTTCTTGAAACATGTTGAAATGGGTTGCTGCCATTGCACACTACAGTTGTTGATGCTATGAGTAAGAACACATCTTATCCAGAAATCAATATTCTCTTTTCTGTATAGACATGGATAGTGGGTGTTTGGTTTTGTGGGTGAAGTTAAAGACTCAAATCCAAAAATGTGTACAGCTATGCTGTCTTCTTGTTGATTTATTGGCTCGCTTTTTTGTTTCGATTCATTTGCCATTTCTAACACATCTACAAGGTTCTGAGCTTGACTATGACCAATACAACTTTTGGCCTCTGTAATTGTCATTCAGATTCATTAGATTTCAGACATATTCACAATCTAGAGCCTAATTATGCCACCCATATTTTACCATTTGTTAGGTGTTCAAATTCAAAACAAAAAGGTGTGAACAACTTGTGGCAACAATGAGAGTGGAAGGATGGGAATGAGGAAAAGAAAATAAGTAAGGTACAAAAGAAGTTGTCCCACATGACAACTCTAAAGTAGCCCTCAAATTATGTATCACTCTTCTTCTCCACATTACAAATTATCATTCTCAATAACTCAATGCCATTTGACTGCACTTTCTTCCACAAACCTCAAAAATAATGTCTATCCTACTAATAATCATGGCACCAAGTCGTCGGTAGAAAGAAACCTAGCTAGACAAGATTTGAATACGGTTCGCGAATCATTACATTTCAATACCTCTAAACAAACATAAATTGAACACTAACAATACAGTTATTGTCGTACAACTTTGTTGTATGATGCCAGAATATTGGAAGTGGCTGTCATCCAAGTCGAGCCATGATTAAAGTAGAAACCAGACAAGATCAGATTTCATCCATTCGAGAAACTCGTTCGTACAGATAGACATAAAAGTGGGATAGGTACAAGATAATGGAAGGACCACCACAACTGGTATTTCCCAATTTTATCAGATTTCCGATTTAATTTTCCCTTCGTTTTTACTAGACTCGATATACTGTTCTTGTAATAATAACTTAAAACAATTACAACAAAGAAAACGTAAAACCAACACATCATCACCAAACTCGAGACATTCAAAATCAGGGCAACTAATACACTGATGATTTCAATTTTATTTGACTTCTTGATTGTTTTCGAGAAAACAATTAGTAAAAATCTCTCAAGGCCTGAACTTGTTGCGGCACGAGTGGCACGTTACCTCCATCTCACGAGCCCTCTGCCACATGGCGCGTGCACGCGCGAACTCGTTGTGGGCAGCCTCCATCTCGCGCCTCGTCAGCTCCCGAACGCGCTCTGCGTACGCTCTCTCCGCGGCCGCCAGCCGGATCTGCTCGGCAGCCTCCCACCTCAGGGCTTCCTCGGGGCCCACGTCCTGCTTCCTGGCTACTTTCGTTAGAAGGCGCGGGCCCACGCTTATGGACAGCTGGAGGTCCAGCTGTGGTGGAGAGAGTAGTTGAATTTCTCTCTGGTGATTTTCTTCTTCTTCTTGTTCTTGTTGTTGTGGCTCCATTGATGGAGGATTTTGATAGTGTGACATGCAAATAAAAAGGGGGGGAAAGTGAGTAAGAGGAGATGGAAAGGTGTATCAAGTTTAGGGAATTAAATTGAAGGGAGATTTATACATATGTATATATATAAGCGTTTTGGTTTTTTCTATTTAACATTTTTGAGAAAGAGAGAAAGTGTCTAGAATGGCTAATCACTCTCCCATGCAGAAGAAAGGGCTAGGGACCAATGAATGTTTAACATCATTAGCACCACGATTCTTATAGCATTGCATGATCCCACGAATGGATCTAAATATTGCACCTTCATGTGGGTAAGGATATTATTATATTAATTAATTGGTGGTCTTGAGCATGTGAATTTTAGAAAACATTTTGGGATTTGGGGCCTAAATCAAAGTTAAGAAAATGAGTGAGTTGGCTTTTTAGCCATTTTCAAATGCAAATGATAGAATTTTAGCTATGTTTTGTAAAAGTTGTAAATTTTGGTCATTTGGCCTTATTAAATGTCTATGTTACTAAATGATTTATTAGAAAAAATATTTATTTCTCATTTTTCTTGCAAAATTAAGGTTTGAAAAACTTAAATTATAGTATGAGCTGATCCTCTTATTATTCTTCTTTGATTTTGTTTACAATTTTGAATATTCTAATTTGTTTATTTTCGATTATTTTGCGTTACATTTAGACTCGTTATTTCTTATAATTCCCAAAGTTTGTTGTTTGCTCTGACACCACTAAATGTGTACTAAGATTGCGGAAATCCAGTTTGAAAATTGAACATATTATTGTTTGTATTTTCTTCTAATTTTGAAACTCTTGATTCTATTTTATCTAATTTTTCTAATACTAATTCTAAACTGGGGTTTTCTTGTTATTCTTGTTTTCTCTCTGGTTTTTTTAAACAATCTAACAGTATTTGAATATTTTCTAAAAATCTTGATTTATATTGAGTAGTTATATTCATTAATTTTATTTCTAAATTCTTCTGCATCGTTTAATAAGGATCTTAATTCCTTTAAACTAGTTTCCCGTTTTGAGTGATGATTTTTCTTGTAGTTCTTATAAGGACTTCTTTTGTAACTTTGTGTACTAAATGTAGACATGGTCACGGGTTGGCTCGACCCGCGAACCGGCCAGAAACCGGTCCCGGACCGGCCCGGAACCGTCCCGCCCTAGCCGGTTTTTGAACCGGCCCATAATCCCCTAAGGACCGGTTAAGGGTCATGTGGTACCCTTTTTTGACCCGCCGAGCCGGGTCCGAATTTTCCGACGGGCCATAGTACAAATTTTTTTTTTTTTTTTTTAACCGGCGGTTTACTGAACCGCCGGGCCGGGCCGGTTCAATGAACCGGCCCTTAGATATAAGCGGGCCGGTCACGGGCCTAAGTTTTGAGACCCGCCGACCCGGCGGGCCGGGCCGGGCCAGGTCATGGCCCGTTGACTGGCCACCTCTAACTAAATGATTATATTTTTAAATTCTGGATTTTGTTAATTAAATTCCACTTCAATACTCACATATTAATACCCGTACTTAGGGATTTTTTTTCACTTTTTCCATCTTTTGCAAATACTCGAATATACTTGTGCCCTAGCTCCCTTTCTGCAAATCAAGCCTCCTGCTTCTTTTTCTTGGCAACCAAGTTCCTGAAATTCTAAGTTTTCCGGCGACTCCTCTCCACCGCAACAATGAGTAAGTTCTCTGCACCTTGGATTTGTGTGTTTTCCTCTTTTCAATTTTTTAAATTTTCTGGTTTCCAATTCTTCTTTTTCGAACTTTTTCTCAAACACTGGCCATGGCGAACCTCTTCTTCCTTCTTCCTCCCCGAAAAATTCATTCTTTTGATATCTTTTTCTCCGTATATTTTCAGATTCTGCTACTTCAATTGAGAACGACCACCACTCCGGCCGAGACATGACTTCTCCTTTCTCATTTTCGACTCTCCAACTACCTGCTCACTCTCCCTCCAACTCTGTTGAAGAGGTTTACCAAGCAATTCCTCTCAACGTGCTTCGCCCTGTTAACTCCGACAGAACTCCGTTCGAGGCTCCTCCTCCTCCTCAACCTTCTCGTCTGATCGATGAATTAGATGAGGATGCTCTTGACCATATCCCTCTCACTCGTCGATCCCGACCTGCTTTCGGCCCCTCCAATGCCGCCGAGGCAGCTCTCGAGGAAGATGAGGACCATATATTCCTCTTTCTCGTCTCTCTGTTCCATCATGTCTCGGCCAGAAATAAGACAACCAAAGCCAATACCTCCAAAGCCAAAGTTTCGGCCTCACCTACTCCTCTGAAATATACTAAAACTAAACCCTCGACCAGCTCTTCTACCGCTCATCCTAAAGCCAAGAAATCCTGCTCGACCTCCTCATCTATCGATTGGTTAGATCTAGACAAAACTGGTCATCCTCTGTACTGGGCATTCTATGGGGCCCATAGTGGCAACTCTTATAAGAATCCCCCTTCTCCTAACTATTATACCTTCTTCAAAATCCAGTTCGACCTGGGTATCCGATTTCCTCTTTGCCCCGAACTGATCAAGATATGTAATTGGTTCGGCCTTCCCTTAAATCAACTTCCTCCTAATTCCATTCGCTTCTTGACCTCGACTAGGCCGATTCGACCTAGATTTTTTCAGTTATTGTTACATGCCCTCCAAACAAGCCCAGGGGCTGTATTTGAAAAGCCGAAACGGCGCGCACTTCATTTCCGACGTCCCTTCGAACTGTCCTCGATGGATGGACAAGTTCGTATATGTCGACCCCGATGTCGATTTCCCATGGGAGTCAACTCCTTGGCTCTTTGAGCTTCCTTTCGAACTTGTAATTCCTCCCCAAGCTCCTCTGTTCATTCCAAACCTGTTTCCTCGAACACTCTCCTCAAAGACGTGAGTTATGAATCTCATCATAATCTAAATGTACCCCATTATCCAAATCCCGAGGCCTGAAAGATAGTATGTCTTCGTTTAGTCAAGGTCTGCACCTCTAAACACAATTTCCTCTAATCATCCCTAACCTCTCCTATTCGTTCTGGATCCCAGATAAGACTTAGGTGCCCCTGGACTAGTGAATATTGCTTATTCTGGTCTTTCTCAATAGTGGTATACAATCGGTTTATGTATTAACGCAAATTAATTTTCTGTAGTATCCTCGTTTAGTCGTGGTCCACACTTCAATTAAAATGCATCACCGACACACCGGTAAATGGAGGCCAAGGGATTTTTAAAATTAGCTTAACTTTAAAAGTTCCTTCCCCCACTTATTATTTTATTTTAAATGAGTATTTTCAACATGTAATTAAATTAATTCACATGCCACCTTAGCAATTTTAATTAATTAATTAGCTTTCCATATTTTATTAATTCCCATGCAATTTTGTCACTGTTAATTAATCACATGCATATATTCACAATTAATGTCATATCACAAAATATGAAAATAAAAAACCACTATTATAGCCATAAATTAATGATTCTTCCAATTAGGAAAATACAAAATTTCCCTTTCCAATTGGGACAGTTGTTTTCACAAATGTACATTTTCAGTGAAAAAATAAATTATTTAAAAAAAATATGTACAAGAAACTATAATTGATAAATATAAAATAAATTAATTAAAGGAAGAATTAATAGTATATGTAATGTGAAATTAATAGAAAAAATTAATTATGATATAATATAAAAATATAAAATAATAATACATAATTTTAAATATAGTAATTCTTAGATATGAAGTATATATACAAATATATAAAACTTGCTTATTTACAAATTATTCCAATAAAATTAATCTCAACTCGAAATCTATTCCAACTTTCACTTAACCCCATTATGCTCAATATTATTAATATAAATAAATAATATCACAATTAATAAAATAAAAAGTAACTAAACTAAAGGAAGAATTAATAGTATTAGTAATGTGAAATTAATAGAAAAAATTAATTATGATATAACATAAAAATATGAAATAATAATGCATAATTATAAAGATGGTAATTCTTAGATATGAATTATATATAAATATATAGAGTTTGTTTGTTTACAAATTTGTTCAAAATAATTCAATCTGCACTCAAAATCTAATTTAACTTGAAATCAACCTCACTTTTGTGCCTTTTATATAATACCTCTATCGTTTTGAAAAAAAAAAAATATTATCAATATAATAAATAATATCAATTAATCACTCTTCTAAATCACGTAAACTTTAATTCACTATTCATCCACTCACATAATTTTAATTACATAACACTTTAAATCATTTATCTCATACTTTTACATCAAATTAACTTCAATTATTTTATTTTAAATATTATTTTAACATAAACTTAAAATCTCAGTACAATTAATTATACTAACTTTTTCAAAATTAATCCTGATTAACAAAAAAAAATCAATCAAATACCAATATATTTGTAAACAAACAAGCCCGTGGTCTTTATTTGAAATTATATTGAGAATTAATATCTAGTGGCGCTTTTGCAAACATACTAGTACGTAGCCCGTGCGATGCACGGGTCTGGGTTTCCAGATGGCCTGTCCATTAGGTTTAAAAAAATAGAGTTAGATCATCTATTTTACACCTCTTTTGATTATCGTTATTTTTTAGTCATGACGTTAAACTTCAGCCTATTAGCTCTAGTATGTAAATTAATTATTAGCTCTAGTATGTAAATTAATTAACATATTATCTCGTTAAACGTTGATACTAATATAAATTTGATTTTAGTATATATATTTATTCTTTAATATAAAAAATAATAGTTTTACATATTCTGGTATAATACTTAATTTATTATTTTATCATAAAATTTATTGTCATTATAATTTTTTAATAAATATTTTAGAAAATAAAAAAATATTTATCTATTTACAAACTCATTATCTCGAGTTTGAAACCATAAATTTTATTCTTAAAATAAAATTTAGAAAATTTTAACTTGTAATCAAAGATGAATTTGAATTGATTTGAAATTCCTAGCTAATCCATCTCAAATTTATTTTGTGAAAAAAGGCTATCCAAAATGTTTATACCAAGAGTCCTGATATTTTTAAATTGTAAAAAGTCTTCATGCAAAATATCTCCACTGACTTTGACGGACCATAATATCGTATTTGATTTTAGAAAGTGAATAGTTGTGTATGTATATGGAAGAAATTTGAAAATTCAAATTCCAAAACCAATACCACAATATCGTATTTGATTCAACAAATTAATTAATTTTAGGAAGTGAATAGTTGCGTATGTATATGAAAGAAATTTGAAAATTCAAATTCCAAAACCAATATCGTATGTAATGAGTTTATACAAAGTTCCCAATTTTTTCAAAATTGTATAAATCCTTCATGCAAGGAATCTTCACTAATTTGGGGACCAACAAATTACTTAAATTTAGGAAAGCATAAATTGTGTACGTGGATACTGTTTCTGTTGTATGTTTAAAGAAAATAAATTTAAAAATAGTATTGATATGAGATTGTATTATGAGGGATTTAACAAAAATACAAATTTTTAGGACACGATTTGATTTGAATTTTTCAAATTAAATTCTACTTTTTTAGGTCGCCTTAGTCAATTGATGATAAGGATTAATGTTAAAAAGAAAAAAAAAATTAAAAAATAATAAGCAATTAATATTGTCCTAAAATTTTTATTTACTGTTTATGGTAAATAGTAATTCTTATTATATATATATATATATATATTTTTATATAGATATAGATTCACATCCTTGGTTTGGGTCAAATAATGGTATTCTTCTACTCGGTTGGACTTCAAAACTATTCTGATGGCCGATTTTAATATCTATCGAGAAAAGTAAAATAAAGAGAAATCAAATTCCAATAATACCCAAACTAGCAATCTATCATTCATCAATCAACGATTTGAAGTGGAGAAAGGATTCACACTCGCAACGTTTGAAATCTCAATTTGCACCATCGAAAAACCCCCCTTCTACCCCCAAATCCCAAACCCTAATTATTCGGCCCACCCACACACACCCATCTACTTCAATCGGACGGCGGTGGATTTGAAGATATGGCGGCGACGATCGAAGGCCAGGATAAGGTGTTAGCCACCGCGCAGCGGATCGTGCAGTCTCTCGGAAATACCTCCGACACCGACGACATGCTGTTGATCCTCTCCGCCTTCGACAACCGCCTCTCCACCCTCTCTTCCTTCGTCTCATCGGATGAGAATCCCTCCTCAGCGGCGGCGGCGGCGGAGGCTGCGGTAAAGGCGGCATCTGATCGATCCACTGCGGTGGATCCCCGATTCGCTGAGGCTGAGCAGATCATTCTGAATGACGCTGATTCGTCGCCTATTCCTGATAGTTACTTGGCCGCGATTGATGATATCATTCAATTGACCGAGGAGTTGAACCTTGGTTTAGCTCACCCCGGCAACGACGTCGTTGACCGCGCGGAGAACGCTCTCCAGTTGGCTATGTCCCGTTTGGAGGATGAGTTTCGTCAAATATTGACTCAGAACGCCATATCCCTTGACCCTGACCGCCTCCACCACTCCTCGCATTCTTCATCCGTTGCTGCTATTGCAATTGCTGCAACGGAGTTTTTCAATGATGACGCAAACGATAGTCTTGATGATGTTAGCAGTGCGAGGTACAGCCACCACAGTCATGGTAGGGGTGTGAGCTTTGGGATGGATGAAATTTCCATTGAATTGATACACCCAGATGCGGTTGTTGAACTCAGGGAGATTGCGGATCGAATGATCCGATCTGGGTATGAAAAAGAATGCTTTCAGGTATATTGTAGTGTTCGTCGTGATGTTCTTGATGAGTGTGTGGCAATTCTTGGGGTGGAAAAACTGAGCATTGAGGAAGTGCAGAGGATTGATTGGCGCTCCTTGGATGATAAGATGAAGAAATGGATTCAGGCCGTTAAAGTAGTTGTTCGAGGCCTTTTTTCTAGTGAAAAGCATTTGTGCGAGCAGATTTTTGATGGGTCTGATCTAGTTGAGGACTGCTTTCTAGAAACATCAAAAGGTTGCATCATGCAGCTTTTGAATTTTGGGGAAGCGGTTGCTATTGGGAGGAGGTCTGCCGAGAAGCTGTTTAGGATTCTCGATATGTATGACGCGTTAGCTCAGGTTCTGCCAGATTTGAAGTCGCTATTTATACATGAGGGTGCTGGCAACATGGTGCATGAAGCCAAGGCCGTATTGGACAGTTTGGGCGAGGCTGCTATTGGAACTTTTGTTGAGTTTGAGAATGCAGTTCAGGGGGAATCTTCTAGAAAGCCTATACAGAATGGTGAGATTCACCCGCTTGCTCGATATGTTATGAATTATGCAAAGTTGCTGGTGGACTACAGTGATACCCTTAATTCACTTTTGGAGAATGTAAAGGTTGAGTCAGAGTACTTGGAAAGGAAGAGTAGTGATGGGTTGGAGTTGGAAAACATGTCACTTATTGCTCGACGGCTGTTGGCCTTGATTACTTCTCTGGAATCAAATATTGAGGAGAAGTCGAAAATGTATGAGGATGCTGCAATGCAGTATGTATTCTTAATGAACAATATTCTATACATTGTGCAGAAAGTCAAGGACTCCGAGCTGCGAAACCTTTTGGGTGATAACTGGGTTAGAAAGCGGAGGGGTCTGGTCAGACAGTATGCGACCCAGTACCTTAGGTCATCATGGAGCAAGACATTGGCTTGTTTGAAGGATGAAGGTATTGGTGGGAGCTCAAGTAATGCATCGAAGGTGGCTTTGAAGGAGAGGTTTAAGAGTTTCAATGCTTGTTTTGAGGACATCTACCGTATTCAAACTGCTTGGAAGGTACCAGATCCTCAGCTCCGTGAAGAACTTAGGATATCCATTTCCGAAAAAGTGATACCAGCATACCGGTCATTTATGGGAAGGTTTGGAAGTCAGTTGGAAAGTGGGAGGCATGCTGGAAAGTATATCAAATATACTCCAGAGGATTTGGAGAACTATCTATTGGATCTCTTTGAAGGATCACCCCTTATTCTGCACCATCAGAGAAGAAAAAGTACATGAAATATGCAGAATTGTGATTTACTGGTACGTTTTCTCTTTTCATCGATGACTAACAGAACTTTGACTTTCAGCTCAGTGATGTATACTTCTCTGTTGGATATGTTGAACGCATAGTTCTGTGAAAGTGTCGACACCCTTCATATACTGTGATGAATTTGTACATTGACCTTTGCAATCGTGTGGAACGAATTTCTGTCATGTATTTATTTCATGAATCACATTTGGATCTGGGCAATGCTAGTTAGCTCCTTGTGAATTAACTATTTCTGCTCAAGATCAATAGAAAATGGTTGTATTTATACTATGAGCTGCTTCCAGTGCTGTTAGCCTGCTTGAAGCTCGTACTTGTGTGCCAATGGTAATAGTATCCGTCATTGATTGGAAATGTAGTGTTTGCTATGAGTATTCTTGCAGTTCAGTTTTTTTGCTGGATTAAAAGCTTTCTTATATTTCATGTTTTTTGGAAAATTATCTTCAGTTTAATAATTTCAAATGTCTCCTTAGCTTCTTTATCATTGCTTGCAGCTCTATACTCGATCCCTGTGGAATTTTCGTGTTTCCTGAGATGAAAACCATTTGTCAAAATAAACAACTTCTTCTTGGTTCTTCCTATCTTCCTTGAAGAATAGAATAGCAATTGGTCTTATTTGAAGGGTGGTTTGTTGTAATATTGATGGTATAAATTCTCTGTTCATATGCACAGGGTTTTGTTACCCTTCAAGTTATCCCATTTCTGTGTTCTTATCTTGCTAGTTGCAATGTCAGAACTCAGAAGTTATGTTCTGGACAAATAATGACTGTTGGATTCAGATCACTGTCAGTTTTTGTTTAGTTAAATAAATTTACTAGTAGCTCTGAGGCTGGTTGGTTCAGATGATGGTAATTACAATTTATTGAACATAATAACCTGTCTCTTGGCCTTATCCAAGGAGTTAAATTATCTTAAGATATGTTAGTGGCATAATCTCTGCTTTCATACATCTCATCAAGCAGTGGAAAATTTGCCACTCTCTCATCCTAGAACTTCTGTGTCATCATTTTTTAATTGTCCTAAAGTTATATAGTAACCTTCACTTGATAACCACAATCTGTCGTTTAAACCGATTTTGTTGACCTTTTTGAGTTTATCTACTCTCTTTTACTCGTCTTTAGTCTATTGAACCACGTCCCAGACAGATGCTTTCATCTGTTCGAAAATAGTTGGAGGTTGCGAGAAGTCAAATAGAAGCTCTCTGAGTCGTCCTTTGCTCACTATTTCTTTAATGTGTTCTTTCCAAAAAGTGGCTACTCATTACCTTGAGCTTCGAAGTTGTGGTTTAGTTTAGTTGTGTGCCACTGATGTTGATTGCATGAACTAAATTCTAAATGGGCATGTGATCCTTAAAGGGTTGTACATACTTTCTTGTCACAACTCCAGAATATTTGTCACAAAACGTCTATGATTTTTGCACTGTAATTTTGCTGAATTTACAACTCTCTAATGTTGTATCCTTTTCAATCGTCCCTTCTACGAAAAGGAAGTCTGTCCCTCTCTCCCTTCCTACCCTTTAACTGTATTGATTTCATTCCTCATATGTTATTTCCCTGTGCAAGCTATTTCGACGTTTATTCCATGGCAACCCCGGAGGAGAAGTTTAGTTTATGCTGGACTATTTATCTAAGAAATGAAGAAATTAACTGAGGCTAGTTTGGATTGAGGGATTTGAAAATCCCTTGATTTTGAATTATTTGAAATACAAATTTTCTACTTTCAAACTCATTGAATGGATTTGTGGAATGAATTATATAAATCCGTTGTCTAGTTCGCATCGACGGTAGAGATGGCCACGGGACGGCCCGGCCCGTGGTCCCGGTCCCGGCCCGGCCCGCAACCGGCCCGTGGTTGCCGGTTCCGAGGACCGTAACCGTGGCTTTACGGTCGGAAACGGGTCTCGTGTTTTCATTTTGGTCCCGGCGGTCTGGGACCGGGTCGGGGCGGGCCGGGACAGGGCCGGTTCACGGGCCCAACCCTTAGTTTTTGGCGGGCCGGTTAAGGGTCACTCAAGGGAGGCCCGTGGGCTCGGCGGGCCGGGCCGGGCCGGGCTGTGACCCGTGGACTGACCACCCCTAATCCCTAATCGATGGTGTTGACTCGCGGTAGTGATGAATTTAAATGAAGAGCCACTCGCGGACGTAGTCAACGGTAGGTTAAATAGGGGATTTTAAATGACTCAAATGTTATGTTTGATGAGTCATTTAAAATCCTCTAAAATAATGACTCAAATCTACCTATTGTGAATTTGAAATTCTCCAATTTCTATTATTATATGAGTATGCATGGGGATATAGACTTGTAAATATGAAATCTATAGATTTAAAATTTTCGATAAAACCTGGGGAATGACAGGTAAAATAAAGGATTCAAACAATTAGCGAACTATGATACATAGGATATTTGTTTTTATCAACGATATATTTTTGCAATAATTAACTACTAATATGACAAAAAAATAAGACGGAAAAGAATTTATATTCTTGAAATTAGAAACAACTAATCTACAACAAATAAACAAAAGACCAATGATAATTGCTTAAAATTACATCAAAGCACTTTTATGAAATTATATATTTGAGAAAAAGTATTATCTACTCAAATAAAATTTGTTTTGAAATTGTTAAAATTCTTTTTTCGAACTTAATTGTACTGTAATAGTAGTTACTAGTACAATACCGTGTACTACATGAATACTTGTTAAGAAAATTATATTTAATTAAATATTAATAACAACAAAAATTNGTATAATATAGATGTTAAAACAAAACTCATCAACATGATTAATTTAATATATTATATATAAAAAAAATGTTGATAAATAAAAAAATTATTAACTTTTAAATATATTTATAATTTAAGTTAGTAAATTTGTTATAATTTAAAAAACAATGAGAAAAAATAAAGATTGAACAAAAAAATTATACCTTATAAACCACGTCTATATCAATAATATTAAAACATAATTAATACTCTTAAAAAGGACCACAAATATCCAATTTATTTATGGATACTTCAAGCCTAATTACTTTTGCATTGAAAATAAAATAAAAATCATCCAAGCCAAACAACAAAAACTTAAAAATTTGCCACATAGGATCCTTATGTAGGGGGATATCTAGGCTCAGCACATTCGAGAATTATATATAAGGGGATATCTAGAATGTTGTTCTATCTTGTATATTAACTAGTACTCAATCTTGTTCACATGCATAAGTATAAATAAAATATTATAAGTTGAATATTATATTTAAAATCATAAATTATGTAATGGACATCTCACATTTTATAAATTCGATGATTTGATAATTTAAAAGAAAAATAAACAACATCAATAGTTATTTTTTAAGGGCGAATTTCTTTTACACCCCAATATATATATGTACTTTCTTTTACACACTGTCTCCTAAAAAAACTTTTTTTCACCTCAATACTTACGAAACTATATGCGATATAAAATCGCATATTCAAATGATCCGCATAATTAACAATTATGTGAGATTTTGTCGTATATATACTAACTTTATCCAAATCATACGCATAGTTAACAATTATACAAAACACATTAGCATATTCAATTATCGCACATCCAAATTCACCGCATAGTTATACGTATGCAAATTTATTTTGCATATATTAAATATTGCATATCCAAATTGATAGCCTCATATTTTACGATTATGCGACACACTTTCGCATATTTTATGTCTCGCATATCCAAATCGGACACATAGTTAACAAGTATGCCAAACACTAACGCACATTATATAATCGTGAATCCAAATCGAACTTCGCATTTGCGACGTACTTTCGCATAGTGTACAACTAGCATATCCAAATCCACTGCATAATTGACCATACGCGATAACTTTTCACATATTCTGTTATTGCATATCCAAATTGAACGTCGCATATTTTATTTTATGCGACGTTATTTTTGCATAGTGTACTACTAACATATCCAAATCCACCGCATAATTTACCATATGCGATAACTTTTTGCATATTTTGTTATCGCATATCCAAATCGAACGTCACGTATTTTATGTTATGCGACATACTTTTGCATAGTGTACGACTCGCATATCTAAATCCACCGCATAATTTACCATATGCTAGAACGTATTTATACATTAGTGTGCGACTCACATATTTAAATCCACTGCATAATTTATAGTATAGACAAGGGCGGATTTAAATAGGGGCACATGCCCCTGTACAATTTTTTAAAATATTATGTATATATATACACATAATTACCTTTTGATATTTATTTTTTTATGTACCATAATTTTATTATAAATAGATAGGAATATAATTTGAGTTAAATATCATAATTTCAAATATATAATAGATGAAGATCAATTATTCCGACTAAATACGTTAATATTTTTATATTTAACACAAATTCTTATGTGAGACAGTTTAACAGTTACGTTGATTGATTTTCCATACTAGCAAACAAAAATGCATATTTATGACATTTTCTAATAAAAATATGTATATTTGTTAAACAGTAGGTCGACATAACGTAGTGTCTAACAGAAGACCAATTATGTATTTAAATATTTAAAGTTTCCGTAACTCCACCTTCCCATTATTAAAAAAGAAATCAAATTAGAAGATAAAAATTTATTATTATTATTATTTAAATAAAAAAATTAAATTGTGCCCCTCGTGTTTGTGAGGCCTGTGTCCGCCCCTGAGTATAGATATATATTCTTCTTCTTTCCATTCGGAAATAAGCTTACATAAGGAAACTATGTATCTTTTTTAAAACTTTTATTACCATTTTGATACACCTAATATCTTTCTAATGCCTCATATAAAGACAATTTTCACATTATTTATATTATTCCAACATGTGTGACGGTTCCACGTTCTTCTTCATCATTCCACTTACACCCACCTAATACCCTTCTAATGTTTCATATAAAGACAATTTTCACATTATGTATATTATTCCAACATGTGTGACGGTTCCACGATCTTCTTCTTCTTCTCCCCCTTTCTCTTCTTCCACTACAACAAAAACTGCATTTAGAGACGTTTATTTTTTTTATTTGGTGACATTTATTAGTGTCACAAATAAATTTACCTACACTTGCAAAAGTGTCGCCAGTTGCGTTGCTAAATTTGATGTCACAAATTTATTTGTGACGCAACCTAGATGCGTAGGTAATCTTTAATGGGCGACACTTTTTCAAAAGTGCGTCGTTAGTACATAATTTAGTGACACAATATATTACTATAAGTTATTTTCAAAGAGTGACATTTTTTAGCGCGTCATTATTATTACGAGTTGTGACATAAAATTTTAGCGTCGGTAAATCCCAATGCATGACGCTTTTTTATAGCGTCATTAATATAGATTATTGTGACACAAAATTGTACTGTTTGTAATTTTCAATACATTACACTTTTTTAAGTGTCATTATAATTTTTGGTGACAAAGTACAAAGGGATTGAAAGACATTTCGTGAAAAATCCATATTCAAATACAAACCTCAACCTCGATCCACAATCGTAATCCAATTGTTCACTGATCAAATGATATTGAAAGTCTAGGACCATAATTCTTATGACATTGAATCCTNATGGCATGCAGGTTACCACAAACCCGGCTGTTGAAAAACAAAATGACATACACAAGTTAAAAACTTCAACCAATAAAGGATAATCATGGAACAACAATTAAACATGAGATGCAAAACAACATAGACATGTAATTTAGCTTAGGCATAGTTAACTGGTTGTCGGCACTTCAATCCATTTATTTCGTAGGCTTCTTATATTTATTTTACTACTTCATTTCCTCTTTCGTTAGTAGGTTTCAAAATCAACATTCCTTTCTCAAACCAATTGCCCCCTCAACTATAGAACTCCTAATACGAAATTATAATATCCTATGATCTTCCAAGCAACTTCAGAAAAAGCAAAGAGCTGAAATAAAAAACCACTCTAAACTTACTTTCAGATACAGAAATAACAACTTAATGTTAAAAGTAACAAATCACAAAATAAGCTAAAACTACTTATTTTAGTAAATAGGCACCAAAGACAAATCAATTTCTATTCATCAAAGTCATCTATGTGAAAAAATAAAAGCTAATCAATACATCATATGCTACTACTTGAATACAAGTAACAAGACATTGCCTAACTTAGAATCAACTAAATTAACTATCATATGAAGAAATAAGAATTAATATTATCGGTAAACTCAAGCATGTTCAACAACTAAAAATCACCATGGTAATTAAATTTAGAGTTTCTTTGAGATTAATTGATATGAATACCAAATAGTTTTACCTGCAAAAAGAAGTTATTAGACCCTACGAAACCCCCTTGAAGGGCTTCAATTTGGATTAAATGTATGCCTGCAAAACTGAAAATAAAATTTAGAAGCATTGTAATGTTTTGGATTCAACATCAAAATTATACTGAAATTAAGATAAACATACATAGTGCATCATCTCTGTGCATACAAAAATGGAAACACATAAGGTTCATTATATGTTACATATATAATAAAATGAAATATTTATATTACCAAGGTATAGAAGTATGAAGAACATCGCCACAGACATCAACCTACGCTGGTAGACAACTTATGTTGGCCTAAACTCATACTCATTGGCAATTTCTCTATTGATGTAAGTAACTTAAGTCCAATAGATCTTTTTGAGTGGCTCCAATATTTCTCCTATCACTCTACCTACCACAGGAAGGTCTATGACTACATATTGAGAGGAATAAGCAACAAAAACATAAAGGTGAGAATCAAAGCAACATGAAGAAGAGATGTGTGCCTGGTGATCACTGCCTTGCCACGTCAACAAAATACTATTACCTTTGAATCTCTGCAAATCATTATATAATATACAAAGAAAATCAAGAAAAATCACTAAGAGCAAACAATTTGATCAAAAGCCTTCTTCTTCATTTGACATTACGCCCTTCGAGACAAGCGCCTTTTATATACTCGCCTTGCCTCAGCTCCTCGAGGCGTCAAGGCCGCGCCATGCCACGCCTCACGTCATGGCGAAGTCACGGTGTCGCCATATTAATTTTGAAAGGGTGAATCCAAATCAGCCCAATCTTTCAGTGTTAATTACATTCACAACCCAAATGTATTGAGCATACTAAAAAAAGTGAGCAGAGTAGTTCATATTTCTTCAATTTTTCTCCACATTAAATCAAATTAAGAGCTTAATAGAAAATAAAAGGAAGAAATAGAAACAAGAGTATTTGAGAAATATTATACATACAACAAGCAAAGAGAATAACAAAACACGAAAACTAATCAATATTTTTTAAAATTATTTTTTTTAACAAAAACCATGCACACCAAGTAAATGCCAACAAAACCAGAGCATAGAATAAGTTCCCGTATGCTTACCCGATAAATTTTAGAATCTGGTGATGGTACTTGCGGCCTTCAGAGCTTATTCCATGGTATGGTACATCAGATCTGAAAGATACGGAGGAAATAGGGTTGATGGAGGTCACGATTTCGAGAGAGAAATTAGTTACGGGAAAAACAAAACTTGAAATGTTATGCGGTTCAGCGGCAGAGGCGCATAACCGAACCAGAGATTGGACCATACACAGAGAATCAAAACGAACAGAGCCTAGAAATCTAAAATCCCGTATGCTTACCCGATAGGAATTGCATCATCCTAACCGTGGTCGATTGACAGTAATCATCGATGAAAATCGAATGGCAACCGCGTCCAAATGGTTATAAAATTTGGTTGTTTGCCTTGGAAAAAAAAAAAAAAGATTAGGGCTGAAATTTCCCAAACTCTTTGCCGTGAAGGAAAATAAGAACACAAAGTTAAAAATAAAAAAAGAAAAATGGCTGGTCTGTTGATGTTATATGCTTAAAAATTTTAATGACCATTTGTAGAAATGTTGCTAAGCCATAGTTTGTTGTAAATATAGTCAAAATAGAAAAATAAGAAAGATGACACATAAAAAAAAATGATATTAGTTAGATACAGTTTTCAATAAAATGTCGCTATATAAGTAGCACGGAGACACTTATATATAAAATGTCACAATTTAGTTACACTTTTAAATAAATGTCTCAATACTAGTTATTATTGCAACATTTTTTTTAAAGCATCACTATTTGGTTACATTTTTTAAAATGCGTCAATATTATTTTTGTTTTTGGAACGCTTTTTAAAAAGCGTCATGTCAATTTTAATTTTAGTTACACTTATTAAAAAATGTCACTATTTTCATGTTGCAAGAAGTCATTTTTGTTGTAGTGTTATTC